GTTGGGATTTTTCTTTACAAAACAAGGTATTTGACTTACTCTATCTAAATGTTCTTAAATTATTTACACCTGTTCATAAATATTAGTGGTATTAACAATGATACTGATATGAATTAGTTTACCGTACGAGCTCGTAGACCATTGGATAACTTTGATCCAGTCCAAGAGCCAACGAATTCCAACCTATGTGATATATATATAGCGCAACCACTAGCCAGTGTCATAAGCGAGTGAATAGCCATCATCTTACCTGAATTGGTGGGTTCCGCTGGTTAAGATTTCTCACTAGAACCTCAGGTAACTTCCTGTATAGAGTCACTCACTAGTAAGCATAAGATTAATCTTCAAGCTTTGGTTTGAATTAGCTACAGATTTTATCACCAGCGTCCATCAATTCAGGTAAGAGGATATATATCGAAAATTGGAAGAAGTCGGAATTCGTGGGCTATTGGAATGCATCCTAGTAGCTGAATGGTCTGAGAGTTCAGACCGGTAACTGGAAGGCACGGATTCCATTCCTGGTGGTGGCGTACTGATGACGCGCTCCAGTTAAGGACGAAACAGATTTCCAGTACTCGCTGCTGGCTTTCCAGTAGTTTTCTAACTGAATTCAATTCATGGTCAAACTTGTTACCAATCCTTATCCTTGCAAACCAACACTTTGGCAAATTAATCGTGATAATAATGATACTTGAATGCCAAAGCGCATTACCCTCTAGACTTCCTGGGTCACGACAGCCATTGCTTGTGAAACGGATCATATTAATTTAATTTAATTTGAGATTTTCCCGTCGATTGATTGGGCCGAAGTGCTTGGTCTCAGGTTGACATGTCTGTTGGCTTCTTGTGCAGATGTTTCGATGGTGTCTGTACATGTAATTAGAATTTAATTGGTTGATGGTGACTAGCAGTGGAATTCAGGATGCGCAGTTCGTTCTATTTGGGACTCGTCAGCTGGATATACCTGCATTTCTTAGTGAGTGATGACTGTGTTCCCACCAAGACTCAAACCCAGATATCGTCGAAGCATCTGCACAAGAAGCCGACATGTCAACCTGAGACCGAGCACTTTGGTCCAATCAATCGACGGGAAAATCAAAAATTCAATTCAATTAATATGACGCGTGGAACAAGAGGTGGCTCTTGTGGCCCAAGTCATCTAGTGGATAACGCTTTGGCGTTTGAAACTATGGGCACTGGGTTCGAGCCTAGGTGGGAATACTATCACTCACTGGGGAATGCAGGTACATCCAGATGACGAGTCCCGAATGGGAAGAAATGCGTGTTATCCTGGATTCCACTACTAGTCACCATGCACCAGTTAAATATATGTACATATCAGGATTTCATCATGAGCTGACATTAGTTAGAGAACCATTGGAAAACCTGGGAGTACTGGACAGCTGTTTCGTCCTAGTTTGGGACTCTTCAGCAGTACGCACCCACCGGGATTCGAACCCAGGACCTTCCGGTTACAAGGCGAGCTCGTATACCATTAAGCCACTGGGACCCGATCCAATGGTCCTTGAATTCTAACTTCTGCCAATTCACGACATAGCGCGACCGCTAGCCAATGTCTTCGGCGAGTATTTGTCCTCACACCCGACCAGCTGCACCCTACTGGTCACGACTTCCCACTGGAACCCAGGTAACTACCTACCTGAATAGGGCCAGTCGCCAGTGAGCATCTTATTGGTATTCAAGTGTTGGTTTGTAGGGATTTGATTGATTTCAGGATTTCATCATGAGCTGACATTAGTTAGAGAACCATTGGAAAACCTGGGAGTACTGGACAGCTGTTTCGTCCTAGTTTGGGACTCTTCAGCAGTACGCACCCACCGGGATTCGAACCCAGGACCTTCCGGTTACAAGGCGAGCTCGTATACCATTAAGCCACTGGGACCCGATCCAATGGTCCTTGAATTCTAACTTCTGCCAATTCACGACATAGCGCGACCGCTAGCCAATGTCTTCGGCGAGTATTTGTCCTCACACCCGACCAGCTGCACCCTACTGGTCACTGGTCCAGTACTCCCAGGTTTTCCAATGGTTCTCTAACTAATGTCAGCTCATGATGAAATCCTGAAATCAATCAAATCCCTACAAACCAACACTTGAATATGTACATATGATTACAAATCATAAATGTGTGAATTAAAAAAAATAAAAACAATTCCAACAGTCAGCTGGTGTGATGACAGGCAGTAACTTTGCTCGAAATATTAACAAAATCAAAATCACTTCATCATTATATGTAAAATTTTGAAATATAATTATAATTTACAGCAGGTCCAGCCGGCATGAGGACAAACATACGCCACTGAAGAAATTGACTAGCGGTCATGAATCGGCAGCAGTTAGAATTCATGGGCTGGCTATTGGATCCGGTTCGCGTGGCTTAGTGGTCTACGAGTTCCATATTAGTTTGTTTATTAAATGTATCACTCACTGATGAAACAGTAGTATTTACTGGATGACACAGTTTCGAAAACAATTTATTATTGCCGTTCATAATCATTCCACTGATTATGATCACACAATTTCAAAACTTGAGTTTTACAGTCTTCTATGTTCCCTCCAATTTATCGTAGTATTCAGACTAATCGAGCATAAAAACCGAGCAAAATCTAGATTGGTTAACCCGAATAATATAAGAAATCTAGAGAATAGTTCAGCTATAGCAGTTTGTCTTTTACTCCCGAACGCAGAATAGAAATGGTCTTAAAGATACCACGTAATTCAGCAGCAGGGAATGCTCGTTTTACCGTATTTCTAATGCGCTGTGTTAGTATCTCACTAGTGTTGTCCCCAAGGAACTGCATCTGAAAGAATAAGGCCTTTTTTGGAAATGTTGGTAACTTCGGCTGCTTTGGTTTCAAATTCATATTCTTATCAATAAACTTTTCAGGATGGCCATTCTCACTTAACAACCGTTTAATATTTATTATTCAGTTCTTCATCAAGACATTTGTAAGAGCAAATCGCTCTTGCTCTGTGAACCAAGCACTTTATCAGATTGCGTTTGTATTTCAGGGGTACAAAACTGAGAAAATGTGTGTACTGGCCCGTTGATGTAGGTTTTCTATAAACACTTCTTCTTATTGTGCCATCCTTTTTTCTGGTCATAAAAACGTCTAAAAATGGAATACTAGAGTTTTTTTCTGTTTCGATAGTAAACTTTATTGCAGGATGTACCTCATTAAATTTATCCAAGATGCTCTTTGCTTCCTTCTCGTTTTTCATAATCAAAAAAGTATCATCCATGTACCGACAATAAAATTCGAGTTCACTAATAACATCCTTCAAATGCCCATTTTCTAGTTTCGCAAGGAAAATATCGGCTAGAATGGGTCCTAGTGGTGACCCCATTGCCATACCGTCAATTTGTCTGTATAGTTCCTTATTAAATAAAAAGTGGACATTCACTGTACATTTCAAGAGAAGCTCTTTCACAAGTGATATAGGAATGCCAACATCGATGTTTCATCGTTTAAGTTCTTCGCATACAAAATCCACTCTTTCCATAAGTGGTACATTGGTGAATAAGGAAGATACGTCAAATGATATCATGAATTTATTGTCAACATTTAAATCTTTTATCCTTTCCACAAATCAGAAAGTATCCTTATCACTATGTTTCACTAACTCAGTATGAAGTGGCTGTAAGATTTCGACTAGCCATTTGGCTACAGGATGGTATGGCGAATTTAACATATCTAACACTGGTCGAAGCGGTACACCATCTTTGTGCACTTTAGGCATCCATGTGTATCTACCAATTTAACTGATCCTGTGGAGCCAGTTACATAGGCCGCACAATTAGGCATGTTTCTCGTCAAATTTCCGAACATCACCCTGCGTGGTTAAGCAAAGGCCAAACAAAATCTATTCGCAGCGCTATTCTGTCTCATCTTGTGGATACAGAACATAAGATTGATGTTAACCAGGCTTTTAGAGTTATTTACCGCATACCAACAAATCTCAACTCCACCTTAATAGTTCGATTACTAAATATTGCTGAGGCTGGCTGTTGGGATCCACATTAAAAAGCCTAATTTGTGCGTCCAAAAGAAGTTAGTTCAGACGCTGTCCTTACCTTGGCCATCTAGGTTTGAATGATTCACAATTTTTGTGGGAATTTCCTAATTTTAGTTGATATTCTACTTGCTATTATATCTTTATTACGATTATAATTTAAGTATTTTTAGCGAACTGTAATTCCATTGCGATCTTACTTTACAAATCGGTATTATTTAAAAAACACTAATATTGTTATTAACTACTATTCTAGAATATTCTATGTATATAAACATATGCGTATATAATTGTAGAGCCAGAAGTGGAGGAAATTATCAATCGGGATAAGATGACAGTTTTGAAATCTAATGTAACAGGATGAATGGAGGGAGAGATTGATAACGGAAGCTTTGTTTATCGAATCAACTGCAAATACATGTAATAGAAATGATTCAACACCTGTCCACCCGGATATCCTGAGAATTCTACTACCCCAACGACAACAAATAAGAGAGAACAAAGGGAACTACAGAACTCAAGTTTCGAAGTCGTGTGATCATAATTGATGAAATGATTATGAACAGCAATAAATTTTGTTCGAAACTGTGTCATCCAGTAAATAATACTGTTACACTCACTGACTGTGATACATGTAATAAACTAATATGGAATTACTTACTACCAAGTAAGTGCCCAAGTTTTATACATATAATAATATGGTCTACGAGTTCGCTAGCCTCGTAACCAGAAAGTCTCAGGTTCGAACCATTTTGCTGTGGGTGCGTACAGCTGAAGAGTCACATGCTAGGACACAGGAAACCGCTGCCTGTCAGTACTCTGAGCTTGTTCTCCAGTGGTTCTGTAACCTAGGTCAGCTCATGATGAAATCCTCAAACTAATCAATCAAATCCTTACAAACCAATACTTGAATAATGACAATTTATTCGTTTGAAACCATCAAAACAAACTAGGCATAAACTTACATCCTTTACTTTAGATCTTATCTGTTCATCACGTAATGGATGCATAAATGAAGTACACGAATAATTCTTTTCTAAATGTTGTAATATTTGTGAATGAATTCCATTTATGCAGAAATAATAGATTGAAATAATAGACAAAATTAACATTGATATTTATCAGTTATATAATAATTATTACTGTTATTATATCCATTCTATTGCATGTTTATTTCATCAATGTGGCATGAATACGAATTATTGATTTTTCGACTTGGTTGTTGATAGTATTCAAAATATTATATATGACATGTGATATATAGTCAGCAGGATGTCATGTGACCCAAACAGCCTATACTATTATCATTATTATTATAGTTCCTTTACGTAATAGCATGAATAGTTTGAAGAATGAGTTGTGCTCAAAGAGTGTACATGGAAACAAAATAATATACAGAATTACACAAGGGTTTTAAGTTATAAAAATAAGCATACAAACAGAAGTAAGGTCAAATCAAACAAACAAACAAACAAACAAAAGTTAGGTCAAATCAACGGAGTTGTTACCATGCGAGTTGAAGTGGTTGGATAATTTTCTTTTGTATGCATAGTTCTGGTTCCACCAACTGAATGGCTAGGGCTTCTGCGATGCAAAGAAGGTGGAATCGTACTGTCTTTGGAAGGTTGTTCTTCACTTTGTAGATTACTTTTAGGTAGGGGGCGTTTGCTGAGATGGAATGATCAGTGTTGACGAGATGTTCGATTATTGCACTCCTTATATGGCCATTATTTCCTTTCTGTAGCCAGGCTGGATAGTGTTCTTTGACCCTTTTTGACATGATGCGCGTTGAACAACCGATGTACCTGACTGGCTCCACAGCAACAGGTGAACTGATATATACACATCGAATTGGTCATGTGCGGAATCTTGTCCTTTGGGTTTCTGTAGATCAGCGGGCGACTGGAGAAGACTATTCCTAATGTTGGCGCAGGGAAAGTTCTTCCTGAAGAGGTGGAAATTCTCTTTCTGAGGACGTCACTAAGTAGGTCTCCTTTGAAGTCTAGGTTCATATAAAGTATCTTTTTAGGCGCGGATGGTGTCTCTTGCTTTTGGTTTTTCTGTTTGATGTTTTTGTCTACGAATCTTGGTGGGTAGGGAAGATTTCCCTCAGGAAGTTTAGTTCTTCTTCCATGGTGTTGGAGCTGCATATGCGTCTGACGCGAGTGGCAAGGGATTTAATTAGGTTTCTTTTCCGACTGATGATTGGCACCGAGCTGTAGAAACTTGTCAATTGACCGTTCCAAGTGGGTTTCCTATGGTAATTTGGAAACTACTTCAACACTACGGCGTGCAGTACCCCAAGTCTTTACCAACCTCATTCAACAGCTGGCTATTTGGCAATGCCACTTGTCAGAGAAGCATCGTTTCAATTACAGGCCGACGGAACTGATGAGGATATCAAAGCAGGAATCGGAAAAGCAAGACAAGTTTTCATTACTCTAAAGCCTGTGTGGAGGTCAACAGCATTTAGCATCATAAATAAGATCCGGATTTTCAAGTCCAATGTCAATTCAGTGCTACTTACTATACGGACTAGAGACTTGGCCAGCGCATCATAAAGAGCACATCAAACAAACTACAGACATTCATTAACAGTTGTCTTCTCTCAATACTCAAGATCAGATGTCCAGCCAGAAAAGATGAGCAACAGGGATTTGTGGCAATGAGCGAACCAACCCAGCAGGAACCGATTGTGCAACAAATAGGCCATACGCTGAGGAAATCATCAGGTGAATGACATCACCAGACAAGCTCTCGAGTGGAACCCGACAGAAAAGGAAGCGGCGAGTTGGTCGTCGGTGCAGGGGTGACTTGTAAGAGGTCATGGGAAGAGGATATGAAAGCATGTCAGCAGACTTGGAGCGGGTTGAAAAAGTTGGCAGAAAACTGAAGGCAATGAAGTTGCGCAACTGAAGCCCTATGTTCCTCTAGGAATTAAAGGATATAATAATATTAATAGTAATAATAATACTTGGCAGGTGATCAACAACAGAAAACTCAGCGAGGCATTCTGTCGAAGTGTATACAGGCGTAAGACAAGGCTGGCTGGCTGCCTGCCTATTATCACCAATGATATTCTTAATCCTGGTGAACTGAATTATGTGTCTGGCTGTTGGTGGCGAGGAGTCAGGAATACCCTGGACGACCGAAAAGAAAACTCTAGAAGATCTGGATTTCACAGATGATGTATGTCTAATGTCACCTAAACTCGAAGACTTGCAGGAAAACTAGCTGAAGATGGTGGCAGCCAAGACAGGACTGCAGGTGAACACAGAGAAGACGAAGGTGATGAAGAGATAACCAGCCAACCAACGAACTAACAGCAAAAAGCAACCAGCACCAGTCACCACCAGCGGGTAAGATTTAACAGAGGTTGCCTCTTTTACACTTATATAGGAAGCATCGTTTCAACCACAAGCATTCGAAACGAATGAAGATGTCAGAGGTGGCAAGAATCGGATCGGTAATATACGCCTTAATCAACCTGAAACTAATTTGAGTTCGGATACCCAATTCATGTGTGAAGTTGGTCCTTCCTTCTTTACGGGTCAGAAAATTGCACTGCCTGTAACGAAAAGGATTTTTCCAACAGGTTGCTGCAGACTTTCATCAACAACTGCTCACTTTACTGGGGCTCCATACTGAAGATCAAATGGTTGGCCATAAAGAATAAGCAAGAAGAAATTATGGGAACAAACCCAAGCAAGAGTTGATCGCTCAACAAATATTTAGGAGAAAGTGGAGATGGATTGGACATACAATGAGGAGGCTGCTGAATGACATTCCACGCTAGGCTCGGGAGTGAATAGTCTGTGCGAGGGTGTCATGAAGGAGATCGCGTGAGGAAGAGATGAGGGAGCTCAGTCAGTCGTGGAGGTAGCCAGCTGAAAAGGACAGTAGAAAACAAAACTAGGTGGAGATGTGATGTGTTGTTGAAGCCCTATGTTCCACCAGTCAGAACGCAACGGAATAATAATTTAAAATAGATTTTTAATGGAACATTCAGCTTCAAAAGGCCATCTCCATTCTACCCTGTAGTCTCTGAAGTCTTTTGTAGTTAGAACCACAGTTACCTTTCAGCCTGTTATCTCCTTCTCTTTAACGATCTCCTCCGTGTCACACTGGAAGTAAAAAGCCCAACCTGTCAACCCTCATTCAAATTCCACTCGAGGGCTTGAAGTGTGATGTGTCTTATCCATCTCTATTTAGTCTTGATTGGTTCGTTGCCTGACAGATTCCCTTGTTGCTAATCCTCTCTTTGGCCAACCATCTGGTCCTCAGAATGGAGTAAAGGTAACTGGTGATAAACACCTGTAGTGACCCGGTGAAAACTTGACCTACTTACTGAAAACCTTCACTTTGAATGAATCATCTTCAGAAAGCTGAAAAACAAATCCATCCTACGGAAATAAGAATCTGAACACGAAAAAGTTCAAAAAGTAGCTAAAATTGTCACGAAAATTTCAATACCAGTTGGTATGCATGCAGCTTTTATATGAGAGTATAAGGTCTGTATTTAGTTGGGTTGGCAAGGCGGGGGGAAAGGTTGCGGTACTAAGCCTTTTTACCGTATTCAGTCTGCTGATAACCCGTAGCTAAAGTTCAATAAATACAATTGTGGCTTTCTGCAGTTTCATTTGAACTAGTTAACACTGGTTAACGGATTGATCTAGACAAGTTTCGAAAATGACGAGGAGAAGAAGTCGCTCAGACGTAAGCTGACTAAATATCTTTGAAGCCAATGCAAAAGGTGGTACGGTAGAGTGAAAATAATGTATCGACAAAAAGTGGTACCTGTCAACTATTCGGGTTCAATAGGGAAACGAGAAATGAAGAACCTACAGTCACTGAAATGATCTCCTAGACGAAGGGGACTTTAATAGTTGGAATGTTGCGGTGAAACACACTGAGGAGAGCTTCATATGGCTTACAGTCACATAAATGTTTCTCATTACTCATAATTAGCCCAGATGGAAAGAGAAAACCAGTGTTTCAACTCCAACCAAAGTTTCGAAGTCTCTTTTTAATCTAAAATAATTAAACGATGCAGCCTGCTACCCGATGGTTTGACTTCAGATCTATTCAACAATTGAGGTAATTGGTTGTTCAGATTAGTCTTCTTATTAGCGATCTAAGAGGTTTATTCTGAAGAGTCTGTTTTATCGCAAGGTTCTTACTACCTGTGCAAGATCTTGAAGGAATATAATAATAATAATAATAATGATAATAATCGATAATGCATCACTTGAAGTAATATCGTTCTGTCCAGAGTGTGCTGCATTCCTCTTCAGAGTTTTTTCTCCATTTCGTTGAGAAAATTCACAGCAGTAAGTTGAAAATTTCTTCAGGACGTGCATGGGAGTACATACATGCTACGATTTACGAATGCAGTTAAATTGTTGAATCAATATGATGCATTTTGATCTCGATGGAAAAACAAATTTAGTGTGGCTCAGTGATTTAAACAGTGATATATAGCCACATGATGTGTGTTTTATTTTTGAAAGTCATTATTTATCTTCGTTTGGAAAATACAAGTATCATCGTGAGCGAAGTGGTCTTCTGATTTCCGCCTTTTTCCGTCAGGATTATTAACTACTCGACGAGTACATAATATAACTGGCGACGGGGAAAACTACAATTAACCACTCAACAGCAGTATATAACAAAAAACAAGCCGCCAGAGTCTTGGGCAGCTATCGTCTAAGTCCCCTTATGATATTTAGTGGTGGTCCGGGGTTCGAGCCCACGCCGGCGCACATTTGATATCTATGGTCGGCCTGCAAAATTTGGGCTACCGATATCCATGCTGAAAATTCCATACTTGTACCAACAATACAGTGTGGAATCAAGCTGTAAATCAAAAAAAAAAAAAAAAGTGGTAGGAAAAGCAACTACGATCATAGGATTTAGCCTTTTTAGACGGTAATGACCTGCTTAAATCTTGAACTACGAAAAATCTGTTTTTATGCTTTGTTTAGATCCAGTAAAATATGACCTCTAGTCGTATTGTTTACTTTGGTGAGTATTTAAAACACCTACAACCTGGTTGTTAGCATGTTTTTTACTAAACCTGAGAAAAAACGTCATCTTCGATGGTAATTTATCT